ACAAAATGAAACTTAATTGTCTACGAATATAAGGTTATTATAGAGTCAATTTGAAGAATGAAAAAATTTGGGAAAACAATCAGATAAATAATATTAAATTAAAAATTAAAGAATGATAACTGGGAAAAATTAAATTTTCTAACGTTACTTTTATTTATTTACTTTTTCGTTTTTTTTTGTTTACGTATTTAATTAGTAGGGGGAAACGATTTAAAAAAAAAATATCTTAACATATTTAGTTTTTACTTTTGTTGATTGAAACCTTATTTATGTCATAAATACTTGAAGTTGCTAACTTTTATCCTTTTCCCAAAAAAAAAAAAAAATGTAACAAATTGTTTTCACGTGAACATCTAGTTTATAACATAAATATAATCATAAACTCTAAATCTTAGTATGCAACATACATTTTTATTAAATTAGATTTACATATAATTAAAAAATATTTTATGGGGAATAGTCACCCATCCTAACTAAAAAAAAATCACAAATAATTGAAGTAAAAACTATATTTTCTGATATAGCTACTTTCTTAATTATATTTTCTGATTTTTTAAATCAGATGTTAGTACTCATTATTATTTTAACTTGTGTAATTCTATCAAGTTTTATAGGAGATATGTTCTTACAGGAAGTATACATTAGAGGTATGAAAATGCCAGTTTTCGGATGGTGAATATATATCATTCTTTAGTTCTAAGCAAAGCGAAAAGCAATGATTAGAGAGTTTAAATAGGAGTTTTTGAGTTTTAACGACAACAATTAAAATGAAGTAAAGTTTGAAAGATACTAAGAAGGTGACATGGGTTTTCAAAAGATAAAAAGAAGTAATAATAAAAAGGGATTTTGTCTAGTTGAAAAGTATGACCCATGATCCTACTACTTATGCATAATTACATTTAGTAGGACCTTAATTCATTTCCCAGATCTTTTTCTTTAAATATGTATTTTCTAATCGACATCATTTTACATATTTTGTAATTTTAAGATTCATGGAACTTATATAACTGCTTTTTAGTAGAAACTAGTAGTCAAAACTCAAAATACAGTATATTAATTAAAAGTTTCCTTAATAGTATTTGTTTTGGATATTTTTTTGCTTTTTTAGTTTGCAGTAATTTTAACTTTTTTTTTTTTTGTAAAATCCAAAAATTGACTATAGTAAAATTCGCAGCAAACTCGATAACTATATGTCGTTTACTATTAATTGTTGATTTTAAAACCCAAATTCTAACAAATAATATGAAAAATCACTATACATATATATTTATTTTTAAATTTAGGATATTAGAAATGAAGTCAAATTCCAAATGTACCTTCCTGCAATTTGGGTATCTAATTTTTGGTTCTAACCTTACCTTGATTTATTACTTGATTGACTAATTCTTGCGGTCGGTATTACTAAACAACTATTTGCCTTTCAAAAAGAAAAACTCTAGAAAGAGTTTAAAGATTTGATTTAGAGCAATTATGAAAAAGTGTATTTTGTCTGGTTGAAAAACATGAGCCATTAGAAGAACATTTACATGATGTGTTTGGTAATTAATTAAGTGGGGGGGGGGGAATAATAGTCAATCTTTTGATTAGCCACACTCTTCACTAATTAATTATTTTCTTTGCATCTTCACTTTCTTAAACATTCCCATCAGTCACTCTTTTTTGCAAGTCCATGTCTCAATTATAGGGATCACACTCTCCTTTCTCCAATCTAATCTCTCTTTTTCTTTCCTTTAATTATCTTTTAGTTTAATTATGTAATTTTGATACATGTCAGCTCCTTATTTGTTGATATTTTTTTCTTTCTAATTTCAACTTGGTAGCTTTAGCGAATTCACACTCATAATATATTGATGTATTGTGTTTCTTTGTTAACCACATCTCACTTGTGTTTAAGAGTGAAAAAGCCATTAATCTAATAAAGGTCAAGATGAAATTTGCAAGTCATAGTTTGTGATTATTTTGTTTTTACATATAGAATTAACTTTGAAGACTGTGTTTTGTTTTGTTTTTTAACCACATCCCAAAAGTTGTTTAGGCCCAAAACTCCTCCACTTTAGAGTTACCAAGCGACCAAAACGACTCAAACCCAAAACTCTTTCACTTGAGAGTTACCCCTAGGGGTCATCCAAAGCGACTCGATTAAATTGGAAAACATTCATCTCATGTTTTGACTCGTGATGACATATTTTCATGTGCTAATAAACATAATTTGAAGTTTTGAACATTCTTTAGGCTTCTTATATAGTTTGTCTGAAAATTTAGACCCATTCACATATGAACTCCCATAGAGGCCTTAATACACTAAATGTGCATTTTGTCTTAATAGGTAAATAGAGCCCACTAATTAGCTCTTAAATAGTAGCAATGGTTTGTCTATTCGATCCAATAGACTCATGTGGTCTTGAGAGCAATGTACATATATCAAACGTATAACATTTATGTCATCAGTCTATTGGGTTTTAGAGAAATGTTATTAGGGGAAGTTATTGGGAGGTTGATTTTAAAAGAGTTTGTGGATTTCAAAAGTTTAGAGATTTTAAGATTCTTAAAAATTTTTGTAGATTTTAAAATAATGTTTACCCAGATTTCTAGAGTTTAATAGATTCTTCATTTGATAGATTCTACAAATACTTATGATAACTGCAGTATTTTGAAAGTTGTTTTTAATCACTAAATATGTAAGGAATCATTAAACCAATAACACTAGAATTTGATAGAATTGGAAAATCAATAAATACTCAACTTTTTGAATAAGAAATAATTTTAAATAGAATTACAAAATATATACACCAATAACGAGAGATTTTATTGAGAATTTAAGAATCCATAGACCAATAACGATGGAATCTTAAAATCTAAAAATCTTTAGAAGTCATTCTCCCAATAACCCCCCCCCCCCCCTCTTAGTCCAAATGGTATAATCTCCATCGCGTAACACATTACAGTTAACCCGCCGCCTATAATAAATAATCTGTAAATATATATAGTTTAAAAAATCATATTAGAGTATTTTTAATTTTAAACGCTTTGGTTTATTAAATTTTTATAGTATTCTTTTAAAATATCAAGTTAAGCTATTTTTACATGTTCCACATTAAATGATTAGCTTATTTCAGTATATAAATTTGTATATTTAAACAAATGAAAATTTATGAAATTGAATATATGTATAAATTTTTAAATTAATACTCGATAAATTAACAATATCTAAAAATTAATCAATTGAACTGATAAATTGGTAACAGCTTCTATGGTGGGAAGGTTGTTAAAAGATGAGGTTTTGGGTTCGAGGAACGTCAAACGCACCAATAACTTACCTGGTGGGCCAAGGAGGGCATGGGAGCCAGGAGAGAGGTTAGGGTCGATGCGATGCAGCGCTGTAAGAGTTCCATGTGGCGGAGTAGGCCATGTGGCGAAGAATCCCGCAAGACGGGTTGTTACAATTATTAATTTGTTATTCGAGACCTATATTTCTAATGACATTTGAATATAATTATATACCCTTACAAATATTATTTTTATTGTGTATTTATATAATAATAAAGAGAATATATTTTTTGCTAGAGAAAAAGAAGACTACATATTGAACACCATCACATCATCCAGAAAATCATACATCTAAGCTCGTTTCTATATATCATATGTGGTGGAAAATATATCATCATTCGTAAACCGGCGAAGTTTCAAAATCTCTTTATTTTGATGCTTTATTTCATTATTTTGTTTGTGTTTTTTCCAACGTAATCATTGTTTTTTATACATCTTTGCCTGAATGCCAAATTATATGCCTTTCTTTGAGAGAAATCAAGTTCAAATATAGATTTGGTGGGAATGGAAACAAAGGTGAGTACTGTGGTGAGAATGGCAACAAAGGTGAGTACTGTTGGGACCATAATCTCCTCAATGTGGACACTGTCTAGTTGCGCTGAAGATCCATCAACTTAGAATCTCAAGAAGGTTCATGTTACATAAAAGGGATGATAAATATTTACTAAAATGTGCGATCTAATTCCCAAATTAATTTCTATAGTTAAAGGAGTAAAACTTGTCATTCAAGTCTCTAAATTGATTATGAGAGATGTTATGTGAGTTAATTGTTGAAACCACTACCTAAAGAAGAGGACACTAGTTGTCAGCGGTACTATGAGAAGAGCGCGTAGTTTGGTACTACAGTGATTCATCTCGAGGAGATCGAGGGAACTGAAGAATAGTTCAAGCACCAGACTGATTTAATTCAGGGAGCATCGCAAGGGTTCAGGAAGAACATGAACTCTCTAAGGTCGAGAAATTGAGGTGGCATTTTACTCTATTTTCATTGATTAAACTAATATGAAGGGAATAAGGAGGTTCACCTCTAGGGGTGAACCCATGAATTGTTCTAGTTTGATAGTAAAATATACTCTCAAATAAACTAAAAGATCACAAGTGCGAATGGCATCTGTAGATATGAGTAAATTATTAAAATCTGGTTCAAGCCTAAAAAGATCCATGAGCTTCGGCCCATAATAAAATCATCGAAAATTCTAGAATATGAGTTTAGAAGTTTTTAAATTTGATTTCAACATACATGTTTATTATTGGGTATTACCAGCTGTAATTTTTATGAACAAAATATATATGTTAATTCCAGCTATAATACTACTCACAATTAGGTGGTAAAATTCATTTCTAAAAAGCAATTAAATTACATTTCTTTCCTGAATGACAATAGCTGGTCATAATTCCCCGAAAGGTATTATATCTAATAATTGTAATTTTATTTATTTATTATTAAACAAGTAAAATCAAAATTGTATTATGTTTATATTACTCACCACACATTCTAGATACAATGTGCCAACTATGCACATAAATACAATGATTTATATAGAGATAAATATTTATTAGCTGTAACTTGGAATTAGTGATAAGAAACCTAATGAGGATAGACACTCCTCCGATGCTATATAAACAGTCTTTGTGCCAATAAACTAAACAAGCCTAAAAAAAAAACAAAAAAAATGAGGAAACTGAAATTATCTTTGATAGCTGATGAGAGATCCAGAAAAACAACATTCATGAAGAGAAAGAAAGGGATGATAAAGAAACTCCACGAGTTGACAACTCTTTGTGGTGTCCAAGCTTGTGGGGTAATCTACAGTCCATACCTACCGGCACCAGAGGTTTGGCCGTCAAAAGAAGGCGTAGAAGAGGTGGTCACAAAGTTCATGGAGATGCCGATGGCAGCGAAGACCAAAAAGATGATGAATCAAGATACTTATTTGCGGGAGCAGATTACCAAAACAAAAGAGCAAGTAGAAAAACTTACTTCTGAGAATCGGGATTTAGAGGTTAAACAGTTTATGTTTGATTGTCTTGAAGGAAAGATGTTGGAGTATCGTTATGGTGCAAAGGACCTTCATGATTTGCATTGTTATATTAATTATTATATTGAGCAGCTTACTCGAAGGATGAAAATTCTTGAAGAAAATGGTGAGTCTTCTTCTTTTCCTCCTCTTTCTGTTGGAGCTGCAGATCTAGATCCACTAGCTATTGCAGATTTTCCTGTTAATGTGAATGCATCTGCGATAAGTGTTGCTAGTGAGTTTTTTGATCATATTCAATACCAGAATATGAATATGAATCAAAATCTGCAGGAACCGGTTCAAAATCTACAGGAACCGGTTCAAAATCTACAAGAATCAGTTCAGTATCTGCAGGAACCAGTTCAGTATCTGCAGGAACCAGTTCAGTATCAGCAGGAACCAGTTCAGTATCTGCAGGAATCAGTTCAGTATCTGCATGAACCAGTTCAGTATCTGCATGAACCAGTTCAATATCTGCAGGAACCAGTTCAGTATCAGCAGGAACCAGTTCAATATCAGGCTTTTCCTGATCGTAATGGTCATATTCAAGAAGAAGTTTACAATAACATGACTTGGAATCCTAATATGAATTTGGATTTGAGTCATAACTTGAATTTGAATTTAGATCTGAATTTAAGTCAGTATCTGAATCAAGAAAATTCATTCAAGGATATGATGGTGGAACAAAATGTGGGATATGCTGGAGGATATGCTAGAATTCCTTTCATAGATGGAAACCACTCTAACTACCATCAACAACCAACTGTTGATCTTGATATCACCAATCACATGCCTTTCATCACATCATCTACCACCTCTACTCTCGGTGCTTATGCTTCTTACAATAACAGTTATATGTAATCAATGAAGCATATTTTCTAGTGAAGTTTTTATTTATCCGAATTTGTGTGTTTTATGTTTTCATTTCAATATAAAAATATTGAATGTTTCCTTTGTGTATGTTTTCAATTAATTGTTGTTGGCTAGTAATTCTACCTTAAAGCATTTATATTATTTTGACTATTAAAAAACATATATGTGCATCATAGCGCATCAATTTTAATTTTATTTGAAGAAGTTTAGTTATTTGAAACAAAAATTAGTTGTTTTAAAAAAAAAAAAACAAAAACATATAACTATAATTATTTTTGCACAAAGTATCTTCCTCTTATTATCATATTTGTCAAAAAAAAAGAACACAAATCAAATTGCTAATATCTTTTTTGATAATATATATTTGATGTAACACACTAGTTTCAAGAAGTATAGTAGTGTGCATGTAGAGAGGTCTAAAAATAATTGATTTGGTCGCTTAAGTCACCAAAGTGCACTTATATTTTTGGATCAAGCATCCTCAGAGAAAACCTTGTTAAGCTTGTTAAATGTAGATGCGGGAGCAACAACTGTTCATAGATATCACAGTGTAATTTTCTTAACTTGCTAATAACCGTAATTTAAATTGTACAGATTTGTTGATCAGTTAATGACCAATAACCAAAACGAACAACCAAACTCTTGTTTCAGTTTGTTTAGCTATTTTGGTTTGGTTATTTATTTTAGTTGTTTATCTGTATTTCCATTCTCTATGGCACTTGCAGAAATGAGCCGAGCTCATCTTTGAGTTAACCCACTTCAATTAAAATGAGGAGAATGATGGATGTAAGCTCTTAAGACCTTGCAACAACTATAATTTTCCAAACATAAGCACCTTAAAAAGGTAACCTTAATAGGAAAAACAAAAAAAGCCAACTTTCTAATAGAAAAAAACGTAAAAGTTTTTATGAACCCCTCCACACTATGCAAATACATGAAGCAAGACAAGCTTATGTAGAAGGCAATGATCCCCAGGAGTTTGCAGTCAAGCTGATTACCATGAAGTGTCTCATCTTGAGCATCTCATGTTCATGAGGCAACCCCATGCCATCTAAAATTCTTACAATGTAAATGTTTATCTTTGAACAAAGATGGCGTGTAATTAATTTAATACTAATGAAGACTAGGAACTTACTCTGTTTTTTGTAGTTCTTAGAAAATGTAGCATTGAGAATCAAAGTAAAAAACTTTCTTTTAACATAAAATCCAAGTACATATATACATATTTGATTAAAAAAAAAACCTCATAAGAAACTAATTGAAAAGTCATCAACATCGATAATGAATCATGTGACACCAAAGAGAAACCATATATAATACAATATCATCATTAACAATATTAACAAAACCTAAATTAAGTTGAAGAATACGTATGAGTCTGGCTTTAATGACTTTCTTCTTGAGAAACGATAGTAATCGTATATAAAAATCAAGCACATTACTGAAAATCAACGAAACCATATGAAAAGATATATGATAAAGAAAATATTACATCAATGTGATATCTTTTAATTACATTTAACAGACAAAACTAATATGCAAAAACCAAATTGCACCACTTTTTTGTGAAATTAAATTACTAAAATCAGATGATATTTTAGGCTTTACAAATGAGAATGGAACAAAATTAAAATTTCAAACTGAAAGAAGTTAATTGGTTTACTAATTTATGGTCTTTGTACGATATTTCACTTGAAATGAATTTGGGAAGAGGAATCATATGTTTTATAAACAACACTTTATCATACAAAAGGAGAATAGTGAATGTAGTTTGGGTATTAAATCAATTTTTTTTCTATATTAATAATTTATATCAAATGTCAAAATAGTTTTGTTTTTAAATGTAATTTTGTCAACTAATAATATTGTTTAGATAAGAAATAAATTATGGTTCAATACGAAGATTAGTTGTCCATTAACTCGTCGAGAAATTAAAGATATTAAGAAAGGAGAAGAAGACAGTCTTATCTCTCTCATTCTCTTTGAGATATATCATAATGGTTTGGAAAAACACTATCTTCACCAGATTTGAACAATATATTAAGAAACTACAACATTATGTTCACCAATCATTCATTTTTTCATCCCCCAAACGCGTGTCAGATAACGATTGACATCTCCTATGATATATGGGCCATGTCATTCGGTATAGTGCACATGCATCCTATTCATGAAAATATCACTTTCAGTCCATTAAACAGTGATACCCTGGAAAATTTGTAATTTTTAACCCAATTACCAACATGGACTGAATCTTGCTATAACCTCAATTTGAACTAATTTACTACGGGATATTTCAAGGAAAAAGAACTTTCTCAAAAGTAATCACATAATAAGGCACTTTCCAAACCTTCACAACTATAGTGAAAATATAGGTCCCTCATGGCCTTCCTTTATTTTTCGTATTAACCATTCTGCCACTCCCTCATTTCTAACTAAATAGTGAGATATTTCGTTATTTCGTTATTATTCTTTTCCTTTTCTATTTTTCTCTTGTACGTGGGATATTTCGTGGCCTACACCTTTTTTATCTATTGTACTTTCCTCCTCACGTCATTTTGTATGTATATGTTCCTTTATTTAGTGTTGATATATCGTTTTCACGATACACACAAAATTAAACTTTTTAAAAATCTATTTACAAACAGAAAATTATTTTCAAGTTTTATTTAGTTTTACTTTTTTTTACTAAATACCAACCAATTATTCTGAAAGTGAATTTCTCAAACTTTTTAAGAATCTATATATAAACGAATAAAAAATTTTCGAATTCGTATACAATTTTTAAATAGTTGGATGAGGAGTACATGTCCATATGGTAGCGTACACTCAGATCCATCCTTGAAATCACCTTTGAAATTATTGATTCTCGTATTTGTTCACTTCGTATTTATTCTCATATATGTTCTCCTATCGTTTTTGTTCACTTCGTGTTTTTAGTTCACTTCGTATTACGTCCATGTTGATATGTCCACTCGTTCACTTCTACTAAATATGACATGTTTAATAATGGATATTAGATTATTGGACTCAACGTAACGGATCATGCATATTTGACTCTAATGGACTATAGATAATGTACTATGCTCAATGGCCATCTTTCATTCCCAAATGACACAGCTTTATACATCAATGGACACTTGATAATGTTCTGCGTTTGGTGGACATCTAAACATTTTTTTGGGTTGTTAACTTTAGTTTCGTGGATTTGGTGGAGATCTATAGAACATGTGGTCACGTATTATACAGTTTAGTATAAATGAGTGTGTCTTTGTAAATGTGGACACATGGATAATAATCGTTTATCCAAGAGAACATGAGAGCCTTAAGAATGATTGGAAACGTTATTTGGACAGATTACATCATTGGTATCCAAAAAACCTCATCCACATGATTACAAAGAGCATAATCACTACCGATACATATTTGTAGAACGAACAAAAAAACAAAAAACAAAAAACTCAAAAACACTAACTCAAAAGCACGAACTTCCATTAGTATGCAACATGCTGGTAAATAACTTAGACATACCGCCTCCGTCGTCACCTCAAATTCTCTTCTAACTGCAGCCTTATTCTGCTCTAGATCCATTCCTCGTTCGATTAGAACCACTTTTGATACCTTCTTGTTATCTACTACAAATTTCCCTCTTCTCCTCTGTGCTCGATTCAAAATCTCTGTGAAAACAACTCAGATTTTAGCTCTTTTCAGTAACCCATATTTTTACCTTTTGACGTACAAGAACGAAAGTCTACAAAAGTTGTTTCTCGAATAAATCAATTTTAGAAACTCATATTTTTGGTTTTGTAATTTTTAAAGTTTTTTTATGCTTTTGTAATGAGATCCAACCATCAATGGTTACAACAAACTAAACTAAATGAAAATCACTTATCCATCCAGTTAACTTTATTGGGGCACTGATCCTTTTTTGGACAAAAAGCTGAGGTTTTTGTGGGCTGCTTATATTGTGTGTTTTTTGCAATATCTTTTACCGAAAGTGCCTTATTTTGTAAATCACCCAATTATAAACATGTGTCTCATTTTCCACTAATTAGAGAACTTCACGCGAGTCCCTATCTACTTTTAATAAAACTTATCATTAAGAGTTTTCCAAATATATCACATTATCTAATGACAATTTAAGTTGTGGAAGCATGTTGGTTTTGTGAGACCCCTGTTTGCGGAGAGGTTTAAATGAATTGATTTGGCCACCTATGTCACCAAATTGCACTTATCTTTTCGATCAGAGCTCCTGAGAGCACTCCACAGTTAAGCGTGCTTATGCTGGAGTAGTCAAAGGATGGATGACCTTCCGGGAAGTGGTTGTCGGAACTGTGTGAGTGAGGCCAAAACACAGAGAAATATCATGTGATAATTTGTAGGGTCGGTAAACAAGTTTTAAAGCCTCCTAGACGTAGCTAACCGGCCGTTGGATATTAATGGGCTCATGGACCTAGTAAGAGGATGTGGGCTCCATTAAGAGAGGTGGGCCCCATTAAGAGAAGTGGGCCCCATTAAGAGAGGTGGGTCCCATTAAGAGAGGTGGGGCCATATGCTGGTGGTGAACATGGGACCCACTGGAGATATGGCGGTCGGGGCGTTACATGTTTACTTAAAAAAGAATTAATTCATCTTCACATAAAATGAATTTGATGTTAAAATATCTGGTACTAGTGAAATTTTTGATATTGTCCATGTTTGTACAGCTAGTTAAAACTCAAAAATAACATGGTTTATTTTTCATTGGGAGATCCACATCTCGTGTAGACTTTATCACAATTTATACATATATTCCTTAGATTAATAATTTATGACACGCATCCTATATTAACTTGCAACATAAAATGTTGTAGTTTCGAAGAACAATGTATTTTTTAGGTAAAATACTGAAGATGACGTATATTCGGGTTGAAGGGACGATTTTGATTTTCTAGCAATTTTTTAATTTTCCTGTATGGTATCCCGATTTAACTGTATTTTTTATGATTTGTAAAATGCTAACT